GATGTGAATTAACTTACGGAACATTCTTTTTAATACGGGTACAGTTTTGCCATAAACATTGGAATTCATTTTCTGGTTTTAACAGAAATAAAAATACAAATATATACAGTTTAATAGATATTAATAATTCATATTGTAGTAATTGTAATCATAATAATACCTTTTGCATTTTGATATGATATATGGACATGACCATTTGGCTCGGTGATAAGATGATCAATGAGATCTTGATGATCTTCAAATTGATAATCACACCCTTCCCATTGACATTCATACACCATATTTTCTCCTTTTTCTGGATTTCCACCTTTTCCACTGTCACCATGGGCAGAAGCTGGGGAATGTGGCAAACTATCAAATCCTTCTTTGGCAGCATTTTCTTCATTCTGTTTTTGTGCTCTATCTTCATATTCAGCTTTTTGGGCAGCAGGAAGATTTCGCCACTATATAAAACAATATTAACAGTAAAAAATAGGTGAAATTTCACTAAAAAATTTTCAAATAAATATCTTTTAAAATATAAAATAATTAAATTAAAAATACTTATAATAAATAATATTACTGATTTATTTTTGAGGTAAACTGAAAAAGTTTAATTGAAAATTAGACAAATTTCTAAGTGGCTAGATGATATAAAAACAGAAAAATCAAGTAAGCAATAACTAACAAATCAATATATAATGATCTACCATGAGCATTTGTATCATCTGACAGATGATAATACAGTAGAACCTCGATTATCCGGACTAATTGGGGATGAAGGTAGTCCGGATAAGGAAAAATCCGGATAATCGAAACAAATACTTTAATTTGTCTTTTAATGATAATACAACACGTTTTCTTTTCGATGACATNCCACTGTCACCATGGGCAGAAGCTGGGGAATGTGGCAAACTATCAAATCCTTCTTTGGCAGCATTTTCTTCATTCTGTTTTTGTGCTCTATCTTCATATTCAGCTTTTTGGGCAGCAGGAAGATTTCGCCACTATATAAAACAATATTAACAGTAAAAAATAGGTGAAATTTCACTAAAAAATTTTCAAATAAATATCTTTTAAAATATAAAATAATTAAATTAAAAATACTTATAATAAATAATATTACTGATTTATTTTTGAGGTAAACTGAAAAAGTTTAATTGAAAATTAGACAAATTTCTAAGTGGCTAGATGATATAAAAACAGAAAAATCAAGTAAGCAATAACTAACAAATCAATATATAATGATCTACCATGAGCATTTGTATCATCTGACAGATGATAATACTATTTTATTTAACTAAAACATGATAAATGGAGCAAAAGAAGTTATAAAAAAAAATCTCAAAATTTCCAATATTATTAATTTTAGTCGAAATTTACTTGAATTTTTATGAGTTGGCCTGCAATGTATATAGATCACTTAATAAAGTATAAATAATAAAATAATATAGAAAGAAACTGGGACAGAATTAAATTAAATATCAATATTATTTAACTAAATCTAATATTCTATTATACTAAATCAATGTAAAAATTAAAAAATTATTAGAAAAATCTACATGCTCAATAATGCATAATCAACATAATTAAATTTATTTGATGTACAGTACATTTAAGCCTTTAGCATTTTAGACTTTGAGAAAATAGAATACAGAATTGAAAAAAACAAATTTAAAAACATTGAAACATTTTATTTTATTTTCAAATTATAAAATATGTACTTTTTAAATATCAACATCCAAACAACACCAGGGGAAGTCAACAACATACCTTCAACATGTTACCAGTGTGAGTTGCAAGAAGGATAAAGTACATCACAAATGTTTTCGAACCATTTTTTGTGTTCCATCAGATATTCTGTGTATCAACTGAAGAACTTTAAATGATTCGAAAATGTTTGTGATGTACTTTAGCCTTCTTGCAACTCACACTGGTAACAGGTTCAAGGTACATTGTTTACTTTTTAAATTATTAATTTTTAAACTATAAAATTAATTTTCATAATCAATTATATGAATAATTTGTGGTAAAATAATTTAAAATCTACTGAAATAATACATATATATTCCATATATCCTGTTTAAGCCCTTATGTGGAGGAAATAACTTTAATAAACCAAGCTATCTTCACAATTAGCTGTTAAGATTCAGGATACATAATAAAAGATATTTTGTTTATTTCATGAGTTTATTTTAATTTTATTTGTATAATTGCACAATATTTATAAATTGAAAATTATATTTATTAATTTATAAAGTCTGTATTCTATTTGGTAAAAGCTTTACAAGAATAAATATCTAAAATCTTTTATAAATTCATATACATGAATTTACTGTGAAGTTAATATATATTATTAAGAATAATTTTGCTAAAGATAATTTTTGATAATTTATCCTTTTAATTTTTCTTAATATATATATATTAACATGTGAAAAATATTCCATGCTTGACTTAATATTATCTAGAAATGTAATAATGAAAACTTACTTCGGTTCCAATCATGCGGCTTATTTCTCCAAATGAACGATCTGGATTTGCCGCAACAACAGATTTTCTTACTTCACTAGCAAAAAGAATATAACCAGTAACTAGTCTCTTCATTGTTTTCTGGAAAAGAAGAAAATAATAATAATAACAATACTCTTGTTGTCAATTACTTTAATTTATATTATTTATTAACATAAAATTCAATCTAATAATCACATAAACATTTTTCTTTTTTTTTCCTATTGCCACAGCAGGAAATACAAACCTTAGTACAAGCTATTTTAAGAATACATTATCTATATTTTGTTTATCTGACTAATGAATGGTCTATCTAACTACCTACAGGACCAAATTGATTGTTTTTGTTGTATAAAGTCATTACAAATTTAATACCTTCTTAGAGGATGAAGGAGTAGCAAAAACTTGTTCATCCTTTGGGGTGCAGGAAGGAGGTTGATCATTAGAATCTTCATTGTCAGTCTCACTGTTCATCTTTGGCATTAGTGGTGACAGTTCCTATGTGATTAGAAATTAATGGATGGTTTCATCATTTCTCTTTGATAATATATTAAATTGTTTGCCACAACAAATTGATGCTACTTTCATCCTAAATTCAATAATGTATTGTATGTGTTTGGTGAATTTGCTTTCTAATTATAACAATTAATGGAATGGGTTTTCTAGTGTATTCATTTATTTGTATACATATTTCCTATTAATTTTGACAATTATGCATTAAATAATAATTTTAATCATTATGATTATGCCCATCTTGGATAACTGATAATTTCACATCCAAGAAAAATTATCATCATCTTAAAAATAGATCTTAAAATTCTGTGAAATTATATACATCTTTTCAATAATATAATTGAAATGGATGTATCCAGCTATCACTTCAGGACAACATGAAAGCAATTTTTAGATGAAACTATCACATGCATTTACAAAGCAAAATGAAAAATATAAGCAAACTAAAATTATAGAAAAAAGAAAACCAGTATTTAGTTGCAATATTTTCAAGAAATTAAAGTAAAATACGTTTAAAATTAAAGCAATACATTTAAATTATATATTATATAAAAATTATTAGGATAGAAGACAACAGAATATTTCTTTTAATTTATATTGTAATTATCATGAAAGTCATTTCATACAAAGATACATAAAATAAAGAGAAAGAGTAAAAATTATTCATAAGAATAAACTTATTTTAAACAATGTTAAAAAAAATTCTATTATGAACTTTTATTTTTTATTCATAATCATAAAAATATTTTGAATTTTTGGGTAGTATCAATTTCTGATGGTTTAATAAAGACAAATCAATAATTAAAAAATATTTCAACAAATATTATTATTATTATATAGTTTAGAAATTTATAAAATAAAAAAATAACATAATATATAATAATAATACATACAAAAATAAGTTGCCTTAAAAGCCAATGAAGTTTAATGCAGGCCAACATTTCAGTTAATATAAAACTGCCTCCAAAAAAGAGCAGAAACAACAGAAAGAATAAACAGCATTCAAAATATTTTTAAAATTCCAAAAAATAACAATAAAAAAATTAAAATAAGTATTCTGTAAATTCAATACATCAGAGAAGATTCCTATCAAAATAATTTATCATTCTAGTTTTTTGTGTAGTATTTAACAAGATACAAATATCAGTACTTCTCTATTGCATATTATTTTTCATTTATAATTACATTTATATTATTATTTTTAAATCTTTATATTTATTCTTTATCACTTGTTTCATTATTCCTACAAATTCTTTTGATTATTTCTACTCTTACTCAAAGAAAGTTATGTATTAACTGAAAACAACTGTTTATATTAATCCTGTTTCAAATGGAAAAATTATTTAACTAACTTGATGTTATGCAATAAAATATTTTGAAAGTTTTATGTATAGATAGATTATTTGTTAAAATTAATTTTCTAATGAAAAATTTTAAAAGTATTTTAAGTACTTTAGTCCATATATATACAATTTATTGTAACACGACATGGATAATTTAAGCTATTAGAAACCTAGTTACCTAGTTATGGTAACACAGCAACAGCTAGAAATAGCAACAGATTAAAAATTATGGATATGAAAACAATTTAGATTCAAACTGAATTTTCTACTAAGTATTCTAATTGAAAAATATCTATATTCTGTACTCAATCATCCAAAAAAATTTAATATAATACATGACGTAACTTGACAAGAAAATATGAAAACAACATTTTATAGTAAACAAACCAACCATTATATGCATTAATAATATGATATAAATGTATTTTGTTGGCAATTATATTAATATATAATTATATTTATGAAACTTTATTAAATTTTATATTATAAAAATTATTTTTTAGTTCTTTATCATTTAAAAAAATATTTTAAATCATCATTGCCAATTTAAAAGACTTTAGAAACCATAACATTTAAATTAAATACTTTTTTCTAATTCAAGTCTTAAAATACTTTAAGCAGGATACCCTGGATATTAAACTTCATTTACTTTTAAGGCAAATTCTATTATTATTTTTATATTTATTAACTTCATGCAAGTTTATTTTGCTAAATAATAATACATAAAAGAAAATCTATATTCATAAATCAGCTAAATTAAAAATATAGTTACTTAAAAATTAAAAGCAACACAATAAAATTATATAATTTTTATAATGGAAGTTATTTTTATGAATATTTAAATCCTGTTGATAAAAAAAAATTATTTGAATTTTATGTGAACAATAAAATAAAATAATAACTAATGTACTTTTAGGATTAGATATAACAGTAATTTAAAATTTACTATAAAATAACATAGGTTACAGAAAAAAATATGTTAAAAATTGAATTCCAAAGAAGAAAAAAATTATGAAAAATTTTAATGCAAGTAATGGTTTCAAAATCTCAGGAGATTCATCTTTAATTCTAAAAAAAATTTTTAAATAATATATTTTAATAATGATACTATCATTCCAAGTTTTAAAGTTTTTGGTATAAATAAAAAAATGTTTATTATAAAATGATATGTTAAATATTTAAGGCTTCAAGATTTTTTACCTGCATTAGAAATTTTATGACTGCTATAAACTTCTGTTTTTTTCTTGATGGTTTCAAATAGACGATACAGCAAATAATCAACATTTTTATCCTCGGGGATTTTAATATCATATATTCACTTTTGTGTAATGTAGTTTGAAAATGTTAGTGTTTTTCTCAAATGACTAATCATTTATTAGAATATTGTAATATATTGTAATCTAATTATCCATTTGAGAAAATGTAAAATATAATTATGTATAAAGCCAACCCCATCATGTAATAATCAAATGATAATGCTGGATTTTTGAGTTATAATATGGCTAATTAATTACAAATATATGACATAATTTGGACTAAAAATAGGCAGTTAAGACACCATCTTGTATTCAATTTGATAATTAGAAGTTAATTAATTTAGAATGTTGTTGAAAAAGAAATCTGGAGTAGAATTCAAGCTCTCAACTTTTGTTTACTGTGCAAATGCATCGCCAATTATGATATTTGAACCTCATCCAATCTTTGCCTTAAGATCAATCAATTTGTAAGGTACAGTACAGTATAATCATACAAGTAATTCATCACACTGACTGTGGAGCACTATGTGCCTATGCTCTGTAGCATTCAACCAACGTAAGTTTTACCCTGAATGGTATATAATACGCTACAGTTAAAGCCCAAGGACTAAAGATGGAGAGTGTCTGGCAATGCCTATACACAGTAAACAGAAGTTACAGGTTTGAGTCCCACTCTGGAATGATCTTTTCTTCCAGAATATTTTAACTTTACTTCTAATTATTAAATTTAATACAAATGACAGCTTACACACCTACCTTTAGTCTAAATTATTTAATATCTTTATAATTAATTAGCCATATTATACCCTATATAAAAATCCAGTGGTATCATCTGATTATTAATGTAAAATGTTTTACACACATTATACATAGGTAAAGATTCTATGTATTTCTGAAAAATAACAACCCATAATGTTTCTATGAATTAATTAAAGATAACAGACAGCTTTCTAATTTACAAATTTATTTATTTCTCTTCAAAAAGTATATCTTATAATGATCACAATTCTTACTTCATACTGAAATAATTAAAATTATTCTAACATGAATTAAATTATGACTGGTCAAAATATGTTTCTCCTGAAAATATCGGGAAAATTTATTATTTTAATTACTTTTGAAAAAAATGGCAATTTCAATAAATACTAATTGAATGTTTTTTTTCCCTTCATCTAAAACCTCTTTTAATAAGCTTTATCCAAAGAGA